GCTAAAAGTAAAAAAAAGTTCAGGTAAAAGTGTTCTCCTTTTGGAGATAAAAATTATTAAAATTTATGTCCAAATTCGTTGTACGTCTCTGATAAAAATATCATCTTTCGATTCTATAGCAACATTTAGTCTTGACAAAAGTTTTATTGTTACAGTTGCTAGGATTTACTAAAATAAATTAATTTTACCTATTTATCCTTCAGTAGCGTCTAAAAAGGTTGAATAAGGGTTTTTCAGACTTCTTAAACTTCACGAATAACTGTCAATTTTGTTGTACGTACCTTTCAATAACACCCTGTATACTAAGTGGTGTGGCATTTATTATAAAACTATAGAAATAAGTATTAAAGTGTCCAAGTGATGGGCGATTGTTACGGGTAACAGGATTCCTGAAAGAACTGTACAAGTCAGAAGGCTATTTATGCATTTATAGCAGTCAGTTTTGACTAAATTCCAAATTTTTAAAAATTTATTTTTCGTTCATTAGTCTAGAAGATATCGAACGAGCCATTCAAAGTGTTGGCACCTATAGTATCCATTGGTGTATTGATCCATCATCATACCCAGTTTATTGCGATATAAAAAAAGTGAAATTTAGTACCCATTTTTTAAGGTTCAGCTGTTTCGGATTTATTTACAAACAATTTGTCACAGTAGAGATTGAAACGGCCAGGCCTTTTTATACCACAGAAACAAAAATCGCCAGACATGGTGGTTTTGAAAGGTATTTAAAAAAAGAAACGGGAAATTGAACATGGAAAAAAAAAGTTCTTTCCTTCTTGAGATAAAATTCACTAAAAAATGACCCAAATTTGGTGTCCCCTACTGATTTGCGGCAATTTGTTGGGTTTTAGGCAACATTTGCAGCAGTATAATTTTACTTTCGAGGTAAAAAATGATGGTCGTACCTCATAGAAAGTTTCACGTGAAAATTTTTCACGTTTTTTCGCCAAAGTGTATTTAAAGAGGTTTTCCTAAAAAATGCAAGGTAATACAAATGTCGAAATGACGGACCTGGTTTCAATGTACGGCAGAGTATTTGGAAATGGTCTTGAAATTCGACGTCTCTAGGGTGAAGCTTTGACCGGTCGGAATTTACCAGACCATAGAACTTTCAATGTCGTTATTTAGCGCCTCGGAGAAAATGGACGATTTCGTCCACGTCCATCCTTGCGAGATCGCTAAAGAACCAACTAAACAGCAAATGCGAAACCCGAAATTTTCGTAGAAAAAATCCGAGCGTACCGAATAGGGGTTTCCCCATTTGTAATTTGGAGGACCTTAGATGAACAGGACTTACACCAGTACATACAACGCGCACAACACTTAAGCCTGACGATTTGCGGAAAGGGTTGCGTTCTATGTGTTTGAAGGCAACGTTTACCACTGTTGGTATTTTTAATTCCCACAACACTCATGTTTGGTCAGACGAGAATCCCCACGCAACTCAGGATCGTTTCAGTGTCAATATTTGGACAGGTTTGGTTGGAACCCACCTAATAGGTCCAAACATTTTACCACCCCGATTAGCAGCCGTGATATGTGTCTCCACGATGATTTTTTGCTCATTATGCCCGCAAAGTGCGTGCGTGGTTTAACGAGAACTTCCCAGGATGGTGGATAGGCAGAAATAGGCAGGAGCTAAGAAATCGTATTGAGGAAATTGCGACAGATATTAGAACTAATTATCGAATTTACCAGTTTTTTTGCATACCTTTCAAAGACACCCTATATTTATAAGGTATGTCAGTAGTTGACATTCTATGAACACTTTATAAACCATGATGGTTAAGTCGCCGAACTCGCACCGGAAGAATATCAAAATCCTACTATCTGGAAGTGCAACAAATTATGGGTAATTCAACACCTCTAAACTTGGAAATTTCTCAACCATGATGCCCAAAAAGGTACGTGCGTACCAGTGTGTCTAGCGCCGCTTCCAGGCTAGCGACGACGAAGACATCAAGTTTCTAGTCCCAAGATCCCCTTCGCGCACTTTGAGAATTTTACGACGCGCCTATTTTCGGCCGCTGTGGGGTATTTCACACTTTACAGAAAATTACCTCCAGGTAGAGTGTCAACGATTCAAACCATCCAACCAACCAACCAACTGCTGTACTTTTGCACACGCCCATGTTATACAACACATGGAAGTTAGACGACTAAATATTTGGGCCATTTACCCAGGGCGAGAACAGAAGAAAATGGATACTTATCGTCCAAGACTAAGCAACACGGTGGCTAGAACTGTTTGCGTTCACCAACGCCACTGCAGTGAACTGTGATTCAACTACAATTAATGAAATAGATCTGCGCAATGAATTACCCTGCAGAATCATTAGTGATAACGGACTGCAATTCGTACAGGCTGTAACGCAGAAAGTCACGTTTGGCCTAGATATTACCCAATCTTTTACTCCGGAAATTGAGATTTTAAAACAGATTTGCATTCAGATCGGTGAAAACCTTCACGCACGCCATATGGCCCTAGAAATTACCCAGCATCCGTTTTGCTATGAACAGTTTCCGAACTAAAGCACTAGATTTACTCCAGCATATCTCATATTCGGCCGCGAACCCGAAGAGTCGGTGATATCACCTTCGGGTGTCGGCATCTACCACAGCTAACGAAATTCCAGGGACCCCTAGAAGCAAACCCCATTCCAGTGGCTCCTGTGTATTGGAAAAATCCAATCCAGGTCCAGTAGCGAGGAGGTTTATTAGTCTTGAGGGGGGGAGATTGCAGCCTAAATGTATGCTTTATTGTTAAGTTAGTACCGGTAAGCTCCGCTACTACCCTTCCGAGGGCGCTGCATGGACGAAGTGGGTATGATACCCCTTAGGGAAAGAAGGACAACCCCTATAAAAGGGCAGCACTTGCCGCAGCAAAGACAAAATTGTGCTTGCATCCGGTGACACAATTCCAATCATCCCTCAGTGAGCAACTACATATTGGAAATTTAGTTTTTATTTTAATTGCACATAATTCACAATGAAAAGCTTTGGCAACAGTATTATCTAAACGCTGTATGGAAGAATGTCAATCATTGTGAACTTTTGAGACGACTTAAAGTTGTTGCTTAATGCGCGTTTAAGCTTTGTTGAAAATTTTACGTCGAAATTTGAAGCAGGATCGTATGGAGGATGAGGTGTTTAATTTATAATTTGTAAAACGAAGTTGTGAATAAAGCAGTGCAAATATTTGCCGTCTCACGTCTCCAGGATTTTCATTTTCTCGAAAGGATGAAGCAAATATTAGGCAAAAGAAATGACAAATTACCTGCTTAAATAATGTTTTCTGGAATAACGTCAGGGTACAAAGATAGCTTAACGATACAACATTAGAAATTTAATAACAATAAATAGCATGTCATTGTAGTAACATTTGTGTATTTTTACATTAATTCTGCAGGGATTAAATAAAATTTAATAGTTAGGGCGCGATCTTTGTATCGGCATCGACGCCTGTGCCGGTATCTGCATTCAAATCGATATCAGTAGATTTTTTCATGTTTATTAAAATAGTAAATTATTAATAAAAGACTTTTGTGTTCGATTTATCAAACAATTGAAAATGACGGCTACACCGTTTTATAACTTAAAAATATAGTTAAGATAGAGTAAAACAATTATTAAAATTAACGGTATGAATTGTTGAATACTTTGCAGATAATGTAATGATTTTCTTTGATTTGTACTCCCGTGTGTTCTTTAATTATTTGAATCAAAGAAGGTTGTGCGATTTTGAACGTATGTCTTCTCGGTTTCGGATACTTTTCAGATTATATAATTAAACAAACACATGTGTAATGTTGGTTGCATACCGATATAAATCAATTTACAAACGAAAGTTAGTTCTTGCTTGGTGAAAACTAGAAAAACTATTAAAATAAAATAACTTCTGCAGATTTGTGAATAAGTTTGCTTGAAAGGCGAAAACAAAGTTAAAGAAATGGTATCCATTCTCCTGTATACATAAATTAACACGTCTTTTCATGTTATCAAACTCATTTTGTAGTGTAGCAGGAATAATACGAGCACACTCTTCAGTAATTCTGTCTTTCATTTCTTCTATGATGTGAATGGGAGTTTTAAAAATCGTGTTTTTTAGATGACCGAACAAGAAATAATCCAGAGGGGTTTTTAATAAATCACATGTTATTGTATAAAATTTAAATGGTATTTACTTAGCACAATTTTGAAGTAAAAACAAATTTTAGTTAGCAATTAAACATCTACACATCTTAAAGTACACCTAAAAATCCACAACAATCGGTGTATGCGTGTCTAATGAAATCATCAACAGACAGATCACGAACGACAAACGACAGATGGAGGACGGACACGGGTGAACTAGTTCTTATCTGAGGAGCTGGCTTACGCTCGGAAAATTAAAAGAACCGGACATAATATATAGCTATTTTTGTGTTTCTACAGATTCATTTATACAAGAAAATTGGAGTATTATGGGTTTTTAATAAGACGTTATGACAGTTCGTTTAAATTAATGGTGTTGTAAGTGGTTCGCGGTTTTAAATTAAACCGGTGAGTTAGTCGGTAAATTGAGTGTAGCGTAATTTAAAGGTTTTTATGAGAATCAGGTCTCCACTATAGCTACTGGACAAAGAATTTAGTATTGACTTAAACGTTATTTTCAGGAAAGGCAATTAATTCTGTTTTAGGTACAATTGTGTTCAATAAATTTCCATACCAGGTTTTTGGCTAATTTGTTGCGAATTTTTCGAATTTGCACTTGTCAGTGCGCTTATAAAAACGAGAAATATTTTAACAAAATAATGTGAACAACAAACAAAATTCATACGAGTATTTTCCGATTTTTGAAAAATTCAAACACAGTTACCATGGTCCCATAGAATGTTGTATTATACCCATACTAATTCTGCGTGCGGGAAATAACATTTCCCCTTTGTTCTATACATATAAGTACTCTTTATTATAAGACGTTATTTAATTTGTTACAAATCGTCTATTTGTTTCAGATTTCCAAAAATTAGAAAGAGAAGCACGAATTTGTAGGAAGTTACAACATCCAAATATAGGTAAGGTAATCAAATTTTCTAAAGTTTCCTGTTATATGTAATATATCATTGGCTTAACTAGAACAATCATCTTTAATTTATCATTTCAACCAACGATGAAATAGGGCGAACATTAATGTATGTTTATTTTTTTATTGTAAATAGTTAGCAATCCCGATGTTCTCAAGCATTTAGGTAATCGTTTTTTGAGCATCTCAGTATTTCATTGTCAGTCACCTTGTAGATGCTGCATGAATGCAATGTCAGTTTTGTTCCTTTCATTCTCATGTTGCACTCTTTTATTGCCTTCGATTTAAGTTGATGCAAATTTTCTTTTGTACTGTGATGTTGTTATAGATGCCCTAAAAGTAGAAATTTGACAAGATGCTCCTTGTTGATTTGCGTAGTAATAACCACCAATTATATATACAAGGAAAGTTCAAACTTAACCCGGAATTTTGCTTACACAGACATACAAATTCTGGAAAATATATATTTTTCCAGTATCTGATGAATTATTGAACTATAAGCCCCTGTGTACCATTAATTTGGTCGCATTTGTTTTTGAGCTGTGAGTACAACACTATAAATACAATTAATTTACGCAACGCATTATTATTAAATTTCTGTATAGCGAAAATGTAAAACCTGTATATTTGTATTTTATCGATATAAAGATTTGCACCAAATCCAACTGCACGTTGAAAACTTGTTGCACTCATTGCTTTACCATGAAGATTACAACAATCGTTTTGGGATACAGAGTGTTCAAAAAATGAAGCCCATATTTCGATCACATGACAAGAGCGAGCAGTCAGAAATAACACTTTCTTCATGGAAATGTACGTTGATAGACTTCCCACTTAAGACACCAAGTAGTGTAATGCAAGAGGCAGATTATCCTATACGAGACACTACACTACTTTTACAACTGTAATTGTAGTATATACAGTTAAGATAATACCCAGTAAGTTCTTTGGAAAAATCTCAATTAGATAAACTGTTCCAATAAAATTTCGGCTTAAATTTGGACGACTTTTGCAGATGAAATAAGTACCGGAAAAAAATACATTTTCACCCTGAAATGTAACTAAGACATTTTGCTGTCTGATTAGTATCGTAAAAACAATGCCCTGAAAATAAATAGACATGATCGACATTTGTAAGAAATATTTTCTTTTGTATGCAAATTTTATTATTTATATTTTTGGTTTGGCTTTATACAAAAACAGTATCAACTTCAAATTTTGGTTCATATTTGTTTCAAAATATTCGCAATTCATTATGGAACTGATCATCATTTCTCCAGACTCAAATAATAAGAGCGAAGAATCGTCTGACTGATCATTCGGTGCACCGACACTAATTCAAATACATTATTTATTATCTTCAAAAATATCCACAGACAATCAGGTCAGGTCAGGTCAGGTCAGGTCAGATCGCTAGTACTAACTCTTAGCATACTTGTCAAAATGCCTCGTCAGTTGTTGGTATTTTTCGGTGTTGCGGGGATAATAACCTATTTGAGTTACTAAAAACCCTTGTTTTTGTATAATTTTGATATCTTAAAATAATAAAAGTCAAAAACCTCCTTATATACAACAAATGGGATAATTCATTTTATTCTAACAAAACCTCCTTCGGAAGATCCCATATTTTTTGTCACTGAAAAGCTAAAAAAAAAACTTTTAACAAAAATACTGCATACGTTTGTATCTCGCTACACCTGACAGCTTTAAGCTCTAATTAACTGAATTGTAATTTTACTGCCTTGCATACATGTAGTGCTGGTATTAAACTACTGCACACAAAACAGCCAACGAAAATTAGAATTAATTGTAAATCGTTTAGTAACAAATTTCGACAGCCACCCATAATGATTTGAAATCAGATTTGTTGGTTATTAATTCATTTTTATTCGAACATAAAATTTTAGATGCAATTAATAATTTTATGCACACATCTATAAAATAAATGCTAATGGCATTTCGATATTTGACGAAGGTGCTATTATTTTCAAATAATGTTGTAATCATATGATTTTGTTAAAAATATTTTTGACGACCTCGTATCATCGCCACGTGCGTGACAGCATGGTCAAATCCATTACTATTCATATATGACGTTCTAGTTTCATTTTTTTTCCTTTAGTGATTTACGTACACAGTGGTGCCTTTTATTGATCACTCTTTTAATATTCTCTAGAAATATGCAATGTCTACGTAATTGGTGTTGCTTCAAATTTTCGATTGTAACATTTTCGGTCTGACAGTGTAGGTCTGGTAGGTTGACCTGGTAGAAAATGAATATTAATAGCACGAAAATAGTAGAATTTGTCTTGATGCATTTGCTCGTGTCCTAGCATCCGTTGAATCAGTAGAACCCCTTTTCTGAGCAGGTTTTTTTAAAAGCACTGGTGTCCTCAGACCAACTAGCAGTTAAAGTTAACCAGTGATGGAAAAAATAGCTTTAGTGGCATTGAAACTGGATGATCTACTTAAACAGTAAAATTTTGTTTGCTCATAAAAATTTAATGCACAAGTACTTTTGCAACAAGTGTGGAAGCTTGTACTAGTTCTTTAGATGATCTTCGAACTCCTGGTCTAGTAGAACTCATTAGTATGATTTTGAAATCCTTTCAGTCGTGTACATGAAGAATACAATGGATTTTCATTTATCAAATTCTCATTAGAAAAAGAAAATTTAGTACAGAATCAGTTAATTTGTGTTTTTGATTTTTATGTTGACTAATATTTTAAGCTTTCAGTATTAGTTATCCACAAAAAGAGATATAAATTTCTTCATAAATTAGACGATCAGATGTATATTTTGCATTATAGATTCAGTTGGTCATCGTTCGAATCTACTAGCTTTTTTTGTCTCTCTTCGACAAACTGTGTTAGTATAATTTGATTTAGCAAGAAAATGGGTAATGATTATGTTACATTTGACTTTTCACGTGATTCTAGCTTCAAATTATCGAATTAATTCTTTGTTTTTAGACGACTTTAAAATTGCTAGCAACTGCAATACCTACCGTTTGTTTTAACTAGTTTACAGATAGAGTTGATGTTAAATGAATGATAAATGAAACGTCAATATTTTGTTCAATAAGACCCTTGTTACTTTTTTACACATTATAAAGTTTTCATTTTTATAACTTTGTTACGTTGCTTTGTTACCATTTGTACATAGTAATTAATCCTAGGGGTTTTTATGTAATTCACATTTAGGTTAAAGATAAAACTTACATGTTCCCCCTTGTTCTTTTTTGTTATTTTGGGTGTTTTCGCAGTTTAGTGAGAAAATGGCTTAAAGTTAATACCACACTTCAAGTTGCTATTCAATGTAGCTAGTGATTTTTGAATAACTGCATTGACGAGAAAGATTAATTTGTTCATAACCATAACACAGTAAAGAACAAAGAAATATATTTTTTTTCTAAATAGCTCAAAGTTCAAGAATGCATCTCAAAAATTTGCTTTTAACAATGTAGTTTAGCATTTTTTTTAACTTAAATAGAAAAAGAGATTATTAATTAGTGACCATAACCACTAATTAAAATTTTGCAACAGAAGTACAAGACGTAAAGCCTATAAATACTGACTGATTTTATATTTTATAACCTATAACTTGTCACGTATCATCTGCCTTGTATTGTGGCGTAAACAACAATTTGGGTTGTAATCTCCACTAATTACACTGGAAAATTGCGATTCTTGAAATTTGCTTACATTTTGAAATGGCTCGGGGGCGTTTGAATATAAAGTTGTAAAAAATGTACATAGAAGTTTGCGTTAAAACTGATAAAAATTCAGGAAAAAGTCGCAAGAATTGTATTATACTTTCACTATGTGATGTTTCTGGTTCAAATAGAATAACATATTCATTTTCGAAACTCAACTTTTCGTTTCTCCTTTTTATTTTTTCTTAATATATGTGCCTATTCATCGGTCTTGTGTTAGACGTGTTAGCAATCCCACCTTGCATCGATTATAAATTTTAAAACACTGTGGATCTCTTGTAACTATCCTGCATGATATCGTTTCCGAATTTTATTGCAGGCGCAAAAAGTTTAGTGCTTGTGTATTTTAAAGATAATTGAGCTTTCCTATTTTTAAACCCTTCCTGTCGTGCAAAGGTTTGTCGGTAGTAATGAAACTTCGTGAGTTTGTTATTGAGAGTTAAAGGCAAAGAAGGTTATAAAGTTTAATTATAACTTGTACTAGGGAATGAAAAGTTCGTAAGACTTTAAAACTAGTTGATGTAACACAAATTTTTGGTGTTTATAATGTTTTAGCGGTTTATGAAGCAAACATTTTCGCTAATTAAACTTGGATGAATATTACCTGTTTTAAGATAATGCTGTTGTTTTATCGATTCTTTAATTGGAATGAATCTACATCACGACAGTGTGAAATAAGTTTTGTATATATCTGATGTACATAATTCAGTTTTATCAAAATTACGGCACAAACTTTCGATTAAAATGATTTCATTTACATAAAAGTATTTCTAAACCATAAGCGTGTTAAAATTAGTTGACCAAAATATACCACACGTATGTGACCGCCATACTTTACAGTATTTTCATGTACTCATCGTTTTCGCCCTTATTTTGTATTTCAATTTTCTTTGCACAATTATTGTTTTAATTAAGTTGAAAATATATCTGTTAAGAATGCTGTCAACTCAATATATTCTAACACAGTTCTTTATAATTTGTACAATTTATAACCACGCTTTATTCTTTTTTATTATTTCAAATCGCGGAAAATTATTACATTTAATGCACAACGTTTTGTACACGCTTTGAAAGCACAAGAATTTAAACAATAACCCTAGCTAATTTATTCCCATGTATACTATATTGGTTCATAATATAACTTGATTTTTAGGTAAGTATTTAATATGATTCACTTGGAACACGTGGAAATTGCTTTAGAACCGTAAAACTATAGACAAAATTGGATGCATGAAAGAATAACTTTCGCAAAATTAGACATCATGATTTATAAGCT